TTTGTGTCTTAGATGTTCTTTAAAGGCTTATATTATAAAGGCTCAGTTCCCAGGATGATGCTGTGGGAAACATTAAGAGATTTAACATAGTGGATGGTTATCAGGTCATGTGGTATGTTATTCCTCATAGATTGTTCAGCCTTTGTCTTAGTTAAAGTCTCTTTTGTGTGTTTCATGATATGGTTTCTCGGTAGCTATGGAGCCAATCCTGGAACTTGCTCTGTAGTCCAGGCTGGCCTTGAACTCACAGAGATCCGCCTTACTCTGCCTCCCAAGTGCTGCTATTAAGGAGCTCACCACCACTACCGGCTGTTATTTAATGTTTCTATTGCTGTGAAGAGACAGCATGATCACAAGAACTCTTATAAAGATGAAGATCAACATTTAATTAAGGTACTGGCTTACAATTTCAGAGGTCTAGTCCACTCTCATCAGAGCAGGAAGCATGACGGTTGGGATTATGGTGGTGTGCAGGCAGACATGGTACTGCAGAGGAATTAAGGCTTCAACATCTTGCACAGCCAACAGGAAGTGGCTCAAGACACTGGGTGCTATCGTGAGAGCATATATGAGATCTCAAAGTCCACAATGACATGTTTCCTCTAACAAGGCCATGCCCACTCCAATAAAGCCACACTTCCTAATAGTGCCACATGCTTTGGGAACCATTTTTTCTTTTTCTTTTTTTTTCTTTTTGATTTTTGAGACATGGTTTCTCTGTAGATTTGGAGCCTGTCCTGAAACTCACTCTGGAGACCAGGCTGACTTTGAACTCACAGAGATTCACCTGCGTCTGCCTCTGGACTGCTGGGACTAAAGATGTGCACCACTACCACCTGGATGCCATTTTCTCTGGAACTATGACAGCCTGCAGTGAGGGAGAGGATCTCAAGAGCCCCTCCTGTGTCCGCAATGGACTATTCTACAGCTCTCTGCTTGTTTACTTCTTTATTGGATGTGGAAACACAAGTCGCCCAACTGTGTTTACAGCTTTATGCATCGCTCTTTAATTCTGATATTTTTGGTACATGTATGTGTTCATAATTATTATATCTTCTTCATAAATTAGTTTCTTTATCAAAATATTTTGTCTTTACCTCATTATAGTTGTTGATTTAAATTCTATTTCATTTAATGTTAATGTAGCCCTACCAGCTCTCTTGTTATCTTTGAATTTTTTGACTGCAAAGAAGTATTTGATTCTGGGGACTACTAAACTAAGCCAACATGTATATATTCAAGGTATCTTGACTTTGGAATTTGAGTCTAAGGATGTGTTGCTTTGGGAAAGAAGTTCTTCTTTTGTTTCCACAGAGGATCAGAACCTGTGGACTCATTCCAGACTAATGTGGTTTGATGGACCAAGAGCCCCTGAAAGGTCGCCTTGAACACACCTCAAAAAATTACTTCACCCAATAAATAGCAGGAAGGAGTTTGGAGAGAACTACGCCCACACTCCCAAATGTTGTTTATAAACATTTGTTTACATTTAAAGTGGGATTGCTGTAGAGATGGATACTTTGCATTGGTATGGATCTTTCTTTATTAATACAAATTTAAGATCAATTTTGTTTTATGTATATTTCTGCTCTTGATTAGGGTATTGCATTTGTGCAGCTCATTTAAAAGTGTAATATATAATTAAGAAATTTAGGTTAATAGAGTCATCTATAATAGTCAAGCTTGTACTCGTGTTTGGTTTTCTAGATATATAGAGATATATTTCAGCTAGATATTCTTCAAATCTTTCAGAGATCTACAGAATATGGCATTTAAAATGTTTTAAGAAGTTAGGACTTTTCATGACAGTGAGACACATGTGCTCCTGGCAGCACCAATTACTTCAAGAGGACGATGGGCATTGATGAGGTTCCTTATGGAGTTTATTAGCCATTTGGGTAAGAAATTGCTCTTGCCTGAACTGTTTGATAGTATGCTGAGTGAACTGGACATGCAGGAACCACAGAGAAATGACTGCTGAACTTGCCTAAAGGTGAGATGGTGCTTCGAGGTTCCTGCTTCATGAAAGAGTCTGCTAGACATTCTGCAGGACATAGAAGAAAGTGACTGACAAACTGCCAATATAGGCAGAACTGTCTTTGAAATTTCCTGCTTCATGGAAAAATCTGTCGGATACTATGGGCTGAAGATGGATGCCCCAATGGTACAAAAGAACTTTGACTGTACAGGCAGCGAGATGTTTCTGTCAATTCTAGAGTTTTGGAAGTTGCTTACAATGAACTTATTGTTTCGTTAGGAAATAAAATGACTCTATTGTATATAAAGAAAGATAGTTGGTTAGATAGTGTAATGGATTAAGTAAAATGTTGCAAGTTCCCGAGTGGCTGCAGAGGGTAGCAGGTCATGAGATCATGCTGCAGGTCCCTGAGCTGGACAGGCAGTGGGCAGGGTGTCTGGAGAGCAGTCAGTCCTTGGCAAGGAGGGCGCAGTTCCCAAAGTGGTTGTAGCAGGCCACGAGAAGAGACAAACAGATGGGCATGCCACGAAACCATTCCGCAGGTCTCTAAAGGTCTGGTCCTGGGGAGGGAGCCTCATGGTGGGTGAGAGAGACATGGATCGGCACACCTTGCAGAGTTAGGTTGGATATTTATTTAATGGTTTATGGAAGGTAAATGGAGAGTGTGTAAGGGGAGAAGGGGGAAGAGCAGAGAGAAACAGAGAGAGAGAGAGAGAGAGAGAGAGAGAGAGAGAGAGAGAGAGAGGGAGAGAGGGAGAGAGGGAGAGAGGGAGAGAGGGAGAGAAAGAGGGAGAGAGAGATGGGAGAAGGGGAGAAGTAGGGAGAATGGAGAGAGGCAGAAGCTGTCTCTTAGGGGGAGAGACTGAAAAGAGGAGAGGCACAGGCTGCAAGCAGGAAGGAAGATCTGCCTGCCTCAGTGGACGTTGGAGAGAGTTGGCAGGGCTTGTCTCTTAAAGGGACAGGACAGATCATTACAGCCTTCCCTCAGCTAAATTCTACTTTGTTGGAATTACTATTTACAAAGCATTAGTAAATCCTTTAAGTCATCAATTCTACTCTTTTACATCACAGGTAAATGATGATGCCTTTTAAAACCACCACAAAATTAGCCATAAATGGACACTACAGGTAAAGATTAAATGCAAAGTACTGAATGTCTAAAAGATACTCGAGAAACTAGGCCTCTCTGAGTTAACCTGCTTTCCACCGCTGTACCAAAAGCACATTGTTCTTAACTACCAATAAACTTCCACACACAGCTCCCTGCTCCCAACACTCTGCACTGGTGCACCCCACAGAGCAAAGTTATACAGAGGACTGTGCCTAGGTTCAGGGAGTAGCAGGGACCACATGGGAGCTCACAGAACAAGGAATATGGCTGCAGATTCCCACCTGGCCCTGTGGAGGACCCACCACACTTGCTCCTGCACTTCCCAGTCTGATCTTGTTTTATCTGTCTATGGTGACTGAAAGTTTAGCTGGGTATAGTAGTCTGGGCTTGGAACTTTGGTCTCTTAATGTCTCCATAAGGCTTGACCAGGACGTACTGGCATTCATTGTATCCAATGAGAAGTCAGGTGTAATTCTGATACATGTGCCTTTATATGTTACTTGACCTTTTTTTCTTTGTAGCTCTTAATATTCTTTCTTTACTCTGTATGTTTAGTGTTTTGATCATTATGTGGTAAGAGGACTACTTTTTTTGATCCAGTCTATTTGGTGTTCTGTAAGCTTCTTGTATCTTCATAGGCATATCTTTCTTTAGGTTGGGAAAGTTTTCTTCTATGATTTTGGTAAATATATTTTCTGTGCTTTTGAGTTGAACTTCTTCTCCTTCTTCTATACCTATTATTCTTAGGTTTGGCCTTTTCATAGTGTCCCATGTTTCATGGATATTTTGGGTTAAGCTTTAGATACATTTAATGTTTTCTTTGACTCTTCCATCTCCTATAGTCTGCTGTTTATGTTCGCATTTGTGGTTCCTGATCTTTTTCTCATGATTTCTGTTTATATAATTCCCTCAGCTTGTGTTTACTTTATTGTCTCTATTTCAGTTTTCAAGTTTTGAATAGTTTCTTTCCTATGTTTAATTGCTTTTTCTTGGTTTTCTTTAAGGGATTTGCTGATGTCTTCCAATTTTTTGTTTGTCTTTTCCTCCATTTCTTTGAGGAAATTTCCTATTTCCTCTTTAAGAGTCTCAAATATTTTCCTGAAGTTATTTTTAGGACATTTTCTTCTGCTTCATCTATATTTGTTTGTTCAAGTATGGCTGTTGTAGGGTCTCTAGATATTACTGGTGTCATGTTGCTCTTTGTGTTGTTCTTACCTTGTCTACTCATATTTTCCTCTGATTGATGTGGTTGGGACTGTCTGTGACTCTGGTGATTAATCTTCTAGGTGCCAGTGGATCCAGGGCTCAGATAGTTGTTCCTCATAGTACAGTCAGTGCCACGGTTTTAGTTACCCCGTTGATTGCTCCATGTTTCTGGAGGTTGCTTAGAGCTCCCAAGGTTTGCTCTGCTTATGTGGAGTTTGCTGTCTCAGGCCTACTCTTGTAGGCCTATTTTCAGCTCAGACCTGTTTCTGTAAATATCCCTGGTCTGGATCTTCTCCTGAGGAGGTCCTTGGCTTGGGGCTGGTCCTGCAAGCTCTCTGGCTCTGATCTTCTCCCTCGGAGATCTCAGACTTGGGTGAGAACCTGGCTCAGGCCTACCCCCTCAGTGGTACCAGACTCATGCCCAGACCCACAGAGGTTTCTGGTTCCTGCCTACTCCTTCAGAGGTCCCCAACCAATGACTGGACCCACAAAGGTCCTAGCTCAGGCCTACTCTCTCAGAGGTCCCAGACTCACACCCAGACTCACAGAGGTCCTTGCTCAGGCCTAGTTCCTTGGAGTTCCCAGACTTATCCCAGACCCACAGGGGTCCTGTCTCAGGTCTACTCACTCGAAGATCCCAGAGTCATGCCCAGACTCACAGTAGTCTCTGGCTCTGACCCACTCCCTCAGCAGTTGCTCCCCTGTACCTGCTCCTGTCGAATTATTTTTTGTCTCAGCTCTGTTCTGGTGCAGGTGGCTGGCACATTCGCGCTCTTCCTGAATTCTCTGCCTCTGTTAGAGTTACCTATTATGAGTAGAGGAGGCGAATAAACTAAGTGATAGAAGCTGGGCAGGCAGTTTGGGGAAACTCACATTTGCTTTTAAGATACACTTAGCTCATATTCCTGAGAATTTAAGACATAATGTATGGGATCTATTTTATATTGACCTTCAGAGTCTTATGCATATTATTCACTATCTTTAATAATGTAATCAAAACTCATAAAAGAAGTTATTAATTTTTCTACTGCTCCATTTCGTGCCGAAGAGTGGGTCCAGTATAAAATACATGTATGATCAGTATAAATGGAAAATAACATGAACAATAGCATCCTTAACCTTCTACTATATTTGAATTCATGAAGTTGCAGGCAGGTTGAAGGGGAAAGACTTGGAATAGACACATATTGATCTGAAGAGTGCTTGAGTTTTACCCAAGTTTTAGCTAAACATTACACAAAAGTTAAAGTTACAGAGCAGTGTAACTCCTGATAAGATGATCAAATGCACAGGCAAGTCAAAAAGCCTTGGTTGAGTGCCACCCAGCACCCACCATTAAGGAGGCCTTCAAGTGGAATGTGGAGATTCATTAAGAGTATGTTCCACATAAGAGGCCTCTGAGTCCTCCACTGCAGCTTCTTCTGAAACTGTAATGCACTGACTGTCATAGAAGGGGCAACTTTACTAATGCCTCTTCCAAACAAAGATGTTACAATTGCCTGTGATAGATCTTGAAAATTTACACAAACAATTTTGGCTTAAAACTGAACTCTTCAACTTCATTCTTTGATTTCTTAAGGCCTGAATAAAAACAGTAAGCTCCCCTCATTATAGACTCCAAAGAACCAGATTTCTGAAAGGCTGCCTGAAGATGCAAAAAATAATTCCAGGCCATAGAAGGAACAGCCTTGCCTGGAAGACTAAATGTGGCCTTGAACACTAACAAGTGTCATGCCAAGGAAAGAGGTTCTAGAGCTTATCTACATTTATGTTAGGAAACTAACAGGCCAGTTAAGCGTCTAAGAACTCCATACTGTGCCAGTTTTGTTGACACTGATGTTAGAAAATTATAAAGACTACAACTTAGTAGACCAATAGTGTTCAAATGCTATTGAATTCTTCAACTATACCTAGGCCAAGGTCTTGTTAGGGTTACTATTGTTGTGACCAAAGACCATGAACAAAAGCAACTTGGGGAGGAAATGACTTATTTCATCTCACATGCCTCACATCACAGTTCAGCACTGTGAAAATCAGGGTAGGAACCTAGTGGCAGGAGCTGATGCAGAAGCCATGGAGGGGTGATCTTTACTGACTTATTCTTGGGTATTGATGTGGTGGTTTGAAAGAAAATGCCCCCTAAAGGGAGTGGCACTGTTAGGAGGTGTGGCCTTATTGGAGATAATGTGTCATTGTGGGGGCTAGTTTTGAGATCTGTTTTTCTCAAGCTTCCCTCACTGTGACTGTCAGTGGACTTCCTGTTGCCTCTGAGTCAAGATGTAGAACTCTCAGCTCCAGCACACATCTGCTTGCATGCTCCCCTTCATAATGGAATGAACCTCTGAACTATAAACAAATGACCTTAATTAAGTGTTTTTTTTATAAGAGTTGCCATGGTTATGTTACTTCTTCAGAGCAATAGTAAACCCTAACTAAGACAATTGCTCAGCCTACATTTTTATATAACTCAAGACCACCTGCCCAGGGATGGCACCACCTGCAGTGGGTTAGGCCCTACCATATCAATCATCAAGCAAGAAATGCCCCCACAGGCTTGCCTGCATGTCAATCTTATGTAGGCATTTTCTCAGTTGAGCTTTCCTCTTCTCAGATAACCCTAACCTGTGTGAAGTTGACATAAAAACTAGACAGCACAGTATGCAAAGTAATGAGAGTCTGCTTTGTTTTGTGGTACCAAACTTAGTAGTACAGCATACATGCTCAACATAATGAGAGTCTGCTTTGTTTTGTGGTCCCAAACTTAGTAGTACAGCATACATGCTCAACAACGGGGAATGATCTGAATATTTAGAGATATCTAACACTGTTCCATATATGCATGCTACAATGGAAGAAGGCAAGTAAAGACCTTCTGTGAAAGAAATAGTAAACACTTGACCCTGCCCTCCCCCTACAGCCGCCCCTTTGTCTGCAAGGTCCTTGGACTACCAGGCATCCCTGTTTCTGTGCTGAGGAGTTCCATCCAGATGGGAGTCCCTGTTTTGGTGCTGAGGAGTTCCATCCAGATGGGAACAGTTCCTGCACCTGCACTGAGGTGACCCACTTAGAGAGTCAGTCACAACAAAGACTAGACCAAGACACCAAGACTCTCCTGGCTTCATTTGAAGGAAGAGATGGGCAAGCACCAATGCAAGAATTTCTCCAATAACCTGAAAGGCAACATGACATCACCAGAATCCAGTGATCATGCAACAAGAAGAATAGAACACCCTACTACAGAAGAAATAGAAGAAATCAACTTTAAATGGAACTTTATGAAAATAATAGAGGAACTTAAACAGGACGTGAAAAACTGCCGTAAAGAAATGGAGATGACAAACAAAAAGGTAGATGCAATGAATAAATCTCTCAAAGATAACCAAGAAAACCAAGAAAAAGCAATCAAACAGGTAAGGGAAACAGTTCAAGACTTGAAAAATGAAATACAGGTAATGAAGAAAACACAAACGGAGGGAAGGCTGGATATGGAAAATTTAGGTAAACAAATAGGAACTACAGAGACAAGTATTACCAACAGAATACAAGAGATAGAATAAAGAATCTTAGACACTGAAGATACTATAGAGGAAATAAACTCACTGAGTAAAGAACAAAACAAATCCAACAAATTCTTAACACAAAACATACAGGAAATCTGGGACACCATGAAAAGACCAAGCCTAAGAATAATAGGGGTAGAAGAAGGAGAAGATTTACAGCTCAAAGGCCCAGAAAATATATTCAACAAAATTATAGAAGAAAACTTTCCCAACCTAAATAAGGATATTCCTATGAAGGTACAAGAAGCATACAGAACACCAAATAGACTGGATCAAAAAAAGCATCCTCTCGCCATATAATAATCAAAACACAAAACATACAGAATAAAGAATGAATATTAAGAGCTGCAAGGGAAAAAGGTCAAGTAACATATAAAGGTAAATCAATCAGAATTATACCTGACTTCTCAATGGAAACCATGAAAGCCAGGAGGTCTTGAATAGATGTGCTGCAGACACTAAGAAACCATGGATGCAAGCCCAGACTGCTATACTCAGCAAAGCTTGTATTCACCATCGATGGAGAAACCAAGATATTCCAGGACAAAAACAGATTTAAACAACACATAGCCACAAACCCAGCCTTAAAAAAATACTAGAAGGAAAATCACAAACCAAGGAAGCCAACAACACCCATAATAATACAAGCATCTGACAACCCTCCACAAGCACAACTCAAAGAAGGGAAACACAAAAACACTACCACCAGAAAAAATAATTGGAGTTAGCAACCATTGGTCATTAATATCACTTAGTATCAATGGACTCAATTCACCAATAAAAATGCACAGGTTAAGAGAATGGATACAAAATCTTGATCCAACATTCTGCTGCCTACAAGAAACACACCTCAAACTCAAAGGCAGACACTACCTCAGAGTAAAGGGTTGGAAAAAGGTTTTCCAATCAAATGGACCAAAGAAACAAGCGGGTGTGGCAATCCTAATATCTAACAAAATTGATTTCAAACTAAAATTAATCAGAAGAGATGGAGATGGACACTTTATACTCATAACAGGAACAATTTATCAGGAGGAAGTCTCAATCCTGAATATATAGGTCCCTAATATAAAAGCAACCACATATGTAAAAGAAACATTACTAGAACTCAAAGCATACATCAAACCACACACTCTAATAGTAGGTGATTTCAACACTCCTCTCTCACCAATGGACAGGTCAACCAGACAGAAACTTAACAGAGAAATAAGAGAACTAACAGATGTAATGAACCAAATGTACCTAGGAGACATCTATAGAACATTCCACCCAAACAGAAAAGAGTATACCTTCTTCTCAGCATCTCTTACAAACTTCTAAAAAATTGATCACATAATTAGTAACAAAGCAAACATCCATAGATATAAAGAAATTGGAATAACCACTTGTGTACTATCGGATCACCATGGATTAAAGTTAGAATTCAACAACATTCTAACCTCAGAAAGCTTACAAACTCATGGAAACTGAATAGTCAACTACTGAACCATCCCTGGGTCAAGGAAGAAATAAAGAAAGAAATTAAAGTCTTCCTTGAATTCAATGAAAATAAAAACACAACATACTCAAACCTATGGGACACTATGAAAGCAGTGCTAAGAGGAAAGTTCATAGCACTAAGTGAGTACATAAAGAAAATGGAGAAAGCACACATTAGAGACTTAACAGCACACCTGAAAGCTCTAGAAAAAAAGAAGCAGAATCACCCAGGAGGAGTAGAAGACTGAAAATAATCAAACGGAGGGCTGAAATCAACAAAATAGAAATAGAGAAAACACTCCAAAGAATCAATGAAACAAAAAGCTGGTTCTTGGAGAAAATCAACAAGATTGACAAACCCCTATCCAAACTAATCAAATGACAGAGAGAGAACACGCAAATTAAAAAGATCAGAAATGAAAAGGGGGACATAACCACAGACACAGAAGAAATTCGGAGAATCATTAGATCTTACTACAAAAGCCTGTGTGCCACAAAATTGGAAAATTTGAAAGAAATGGACACTTTTTTAGATAAATTCCAGATACCAAAATTAAGTCAAGACCAGGTAAGCAGTTTAAATAGACCTGTAAGTTGCGAGGAAATAGAAGATGTCATCAGAAACCTCCCTACCAAAAAAAGCCCTAGACCAGATGGCTTCAAAGCAGAATTCTACCAGAACTTCCAAGAAGAGTTAATACTTATACTTCTTAATGTGTTTCACAAAATAGAAACAGAAGTCATTGCCTAACATTTTTTATGAAGCTACAGTCACCCTGATACCAAACCCACACAAAGACTTAACCAAGAAAGAGAATTACAGACTAATCTCACTCATGAACATCGATGCAAAAATTCTCAATAAAATACTGGCAAACAAAACCCAAGAGCACATCCAAAAAATTATCCATTATGATCAAGTAGGCTTTATCCCAGAGAGGCAGGGCTGGTTCAACATATGAAAATCTATCAACGCAATCCATCATATAAATAAACTGAATGAAAAAAACTATATGATCATTTAATTAGATGCTGAAAAAGCATTGGACAAAATTCAACACCCCTTTATGATAAAGGTCTTGGGGAGATTAGGGATACAGGGCTCATTCCTAAATATAATAAAAGCAATATACAGCAAGCCAACAGCTAACACTAAATTAAATGGAGAGAATCTCGAAGCCATCCCACTAAAATCAGGAACAAGACAAGGCTGTCCACTTTCTCCATACCTCTTCGAAATAGTGCTTGAAGTTCTAGCAATAGTAATAAGATAGCATAAAGAGATCAAGGGGATTCAAATTGGAAAGGAAGAAGTCAAACTTTCATTATTTGTAGATGATATGATAGTGTATATAAGCAACCCCAAAAACTCTACCAAAGAACTCTTACAGCTGATCAACACCTTTAGTAATGTGACAGGATACAAGATGATTAACTCCAAAAAATCAGTTGCCCTCCTATACACAAAGAACAAAGAAGCAGAGAGGGAAATCAGAGAAACATCACCTTTCACGATAGCCACAAATAGCATAAAGTATCTTGGGGTAACTCTACCCAAGGAAGTGAAAGATCTATTTGACAAGAACTTTAAGGCTTTGAAAAAAGAAATTAAAGAGGATACCAGAAAATGGAAGAATCTCCCACGCTCTTGGAATGGGAGGATCAACACAGTAAAAATGGCAATTCTACCAGAAGCAATCTATAGATTCAATGCAATGCCCATCAAAATCCCAACAAAATTCTTCACAGACCTTGAGAGAACAATAATCAACTTTATATGGAAAAACAAAAAACCCAGGATACCCAAAACAATATTATATAATAAAAGTACTTCCAGAGGCATTACCATCCCTGACTTCGAACTCTATTACAGAACTACAGTAATGAAAACTGCTTGGTATTGACACAAAAACAGAGATGTTGACCAATGGAATCGAATTGAAGACCCAGATATTAATCCACCAACCTGTGAACACCTGATTTTTGACAAAGGAGCTAAAATTATACAATGGAAGAAAGAAAGCATCTTCAACAAATGGTGTTGGCTTAACTCGATGTCAACATGTTGAAGAATGAAAATAGATCCATATCTATCACCATGCAAAAAACTCAAGTCCAAATGGATTAAAGACCTCAATTTTAATCTCAGCACACTGAACCTGATAGAAGAGAAAGTGGGAAGTAGTCTACAACACATGGGCACAGGAGACCACTTCCTACATATAAGCCCAGTAGCACAGACAATAAGAGCAACAATGAATAAATGGGACCTCCTGAAACTAAGAAGCTTTTGTAAAGCAAAGGACACTGTCATTAAGACAAAAAGGCAACCTACTGATTGGAAGAAGATCTTCACCAACCTCTCATCAGACAAAGGTCTGATCTCCAAAATATATAAAGAACTCAAGAAACTAGACACTAAAACTCTAATTAACCCAGTTAAAAAATGGGATACTGAACTGAACAGAGAATTTTCAACGGAAGAAATTCAAATAGCCAAAAGACACTTAAGGTCATGCTCAGCCTCCTTAGCGATCAGGGAAATGTAAATCAAAACAACTTTGAGATACCATCTTATACCTGTCAGAATAGCTAAAATCAAAAACACCAGTGATAGCCTATGCTGGAGAGGATGTGGAGTGAGGGGAACTCTCATCCATTGTTGGTGGGAATGCAAACTTGTGCAGCCACTTTGGAAATCAGTGTGGCAGTTTCTCGGGAAACTGGGAATCAACCTACCTAAGGACCCAGGAATTCCACTCTTGGGAATATACCCAAGAGATGCCCAATCATACTACAAAAGCATTTGTTCAACTATGTTCACAGCAGCACTATTTGTAATAGCCAGAACCTGGAAACAACCTAGATGCCCCTCAATAGAAGAATGGTTAAAGAAGGTGTGGATCATATACATTTTAGAGTTTTACCTAGTGGTAAAAAACAATGACATCTTGAATTTTGCATGCAAATGGATGGAAATAGAAAATGCTTTACTGAGTGAGGTAACCCAGACCCAAAAAGAGGAATATGGTATGTACTCACTCATAAGTGAATTCTAGCCATAAATAAAGGACATTGAGCCTATAATTTGTGTTCCTAAAGAAGCTAAATAAGGAGGTGAACCCAATGAAAATCATATAGCTATCCTCCTTGATATTGGAATAGACAAGATTGTCAGGGAAAAGTAGGGTTCATGGGGGTTGGGGTGGGGTGGGTGTAAGGGGAGATGGGGAGAGAGAATGGAGAATGGGAGAATTGGGGAGAGCTTGGGGGAATGGGATGGGTGGGATGGATGAAGGGTGGATATGGGAGCAAGGATGTAGATATCTTAATTAAGGGATCCATTTTAGAGTTGGCAGGAGACTTGACTCTAGAGGGGTTCCCAGGTATCCAAGGGGATTTTCCCAGCTAGGTCCTTGGGCAGTACAGGAGAGGGTGCCTGAACTGGCCTTCTCCCATAGTCACACTGATGAATATCTTGCATATCACCATAGAACCTTCATCTGGTGATGGATGGAGATAGAGACAGAGACCCACATTGGAGCACTGGACTGAACTCCCAAGGTCCCAATGAGGAGCAGAAGGAGGGAGAACATGAGCAAGGAAGTCAGGACCACGAGGGGTGCGTCCACCCACTGAGATGGTGGGACTGATCTAATGGGAGTTCACCAAGGCCAGCCGGACTGGGAGTGATGAAGCATGTGATCAACCTAGACTCTCTGAATGTGGCTGTCAATGAGGGCTGACTGAGAAGCCAAGGACAATGGCACTGGGTTTTGATTCTACTGCATGGAGTGGCTTTGTGGGCTTCTGGTTTATTTGGATGCTCACCTTCCTAGACCTGGATGGAGGGGGGAGGACCTTGGACTTCCCATGGGGCAGGGAACCCTGACTGCTCTTAGGACCGGAGGGAGAGGGAAGTGGGGGTGTGGGAGGGAAATGGGAGGTATAAATTTTTAATAAATAGATAAATAAATAAATAAAATAGATACAAATAAAAAAATAAAAGAAAGAAAAAGAAATAGCACATCACATGTGTTCACACAGTACTAAAAATTTTGGAGGCAATGTCTAAAATTGATACTCACCAACTAGAGGCCCTTTCTAGGGCCAGAGCTCCTGGGTGAAATAAAGAATCTGTGTAAAGAAGAAGCAAGTAAAAGGTAAGAGGATTCTTCAAATATTCCAAAGTCAGGTCCCACACCACTTTTCTTAAATGTTTCAATCACTCCCTGCCATGGTTAATTTTGATCAGTTCTGGGATCAACTATGAGACTCACTTTGTCAGGGACCAGCCTTGACAAAAATACCTCTTGCCAGAGTAGAGGTGTGAGGATTTAGAAGTATAATAAAGAATATGAAGATGTGAATGAAAGTAATAACATGGAGAAACATAGAATAGTATCAGGATGGAATTCTAGTGAGTACTGAAATTCGCCCATTTAATTTCCAACTACTTAAAACGCCCCTGGCCCCAAAAGGTAGGAGAAAGGCAAAAGACTTCATTAATACAGTACAAGGAAATGAACATACCAATTGAAGTTGGCAGGCTGCGTGTCCACAGTAAAACGTCCTGCTGTAGAGACAAGAGTACTCCCACTCGTACCCTAGACTCAAACATTCTATAGGTACCCTCTGTGTGGAATCCCAAGTTAACTTCATAAAGGAAACTGTTACTTAGTTGGATTCTTAGAATTTTGTTTGAGGTAGGAACAGATCTGCTTTCCTCTTCCTGGATTACATGTTCTGGCTATTAGGCACACCTGTTGACAATAGCATTGAGAATACATAACTCTCTGATGTAACTCTAGGTGGGACCTTGTAGAAGCAATATAACCTTGAAGGAATAGAGTTAAGTTCAACTCTCTGACCTTTAGTCCAGGTGGAAATAGGTTTACATTTTTGGGCCCCCACAACACTTCATAATATTTTAGGGAAAAATCAACTGAGCAGGAAATGCTCCCAGGAAATATTCTCCCAGGAAATGGGTAATACCTTTTGACTGTAGTGCATGTGTAAAAAGGCCTGAGACAAAATTGCTGCTCCCTTTGTCTGCCTCCCTTCACTTCCTGCTAATGAGTATACCTACTCTGAGGTTCCCACTTCCTCTGCTGCTACCATTCTTTGTTGCCATTAGAACCCAGTTTCTGCAGACTTTTATCATGAACTGAGGACCAGAAGCACTTCAGAAATCCTCTAGGTTTCCAGCATTAAAATGGGAATGTATCTAGCTCCATGGATCAAAAAGCTACCAGGCTCTTAGCCTCTCTGGTATGCAGACAGCCATTGTTGAACTAACCAGACTATACTGTGTAAACCAAACTAATACAACCCCACTATGACATTCTATATTATCAGTTAAGTTCCTCTTGAGAAATGGTTCTCAACCTGTGGGGCATGGATCCATTTGCAATCCTCTATCTCCAAAAATACATTATGATTCATAATAGAAGCAAAATTACAGTTATAAAATAGCAAGGAAAACAAATTTATTTTTAGGTATAGCACAAATAATAAAATTCCAGAGACAGATATTGGGGTTCAACCTGTAGGTCATAAAAGCAAAGCAACCAAGCCACTAGAAAGTTCTTACCTTATGAAATCTCCAGGCTGAAATGCTGGAACAGTTAATTCCTCATGTTGTGGTGACTGTAATGCTCTGTCCTGTTCCTTTAAGAGACAAACCCCACCCACTCCCTTCCCCATCTGCTGAGGAAAGCAGATCTTCTTTCAGTTTCCAGCCTCAGTTCCTTCCTTCCCGTCTCTCTCCTAAAGAGGCAGCTTCTGCCTCTCTCCTTTCTCCCCAATGCTCCCCTCCCCCTCTCTTCCTCTCTCACTTTCTTCTCCCTTCTTTCCTTACCTTTCATTTTCCCCTACATAACCCACTAAATAAATACCCACTTTCTCTGCATGATGTGCCTAATAGGTCTCTGTCTCTCATCTGCTACATGGCTCCCTGACTGGGACTGACTACTTTCATGCCCATCTTGGTCTCATGCCTGCTGTCCAATGCCACCACTCGGGGACCTGTGGTGTTTTACTTTTACCATAACAGAAGTAGAGTGAGTTCCTGCCTCATGCAACTTTATATTCCTCTCTAGTGCTGAGATTAAAGGCGTGTATCACCACCACAGGACCGCTATGGCTACTGTGTGGCATAGTGTGGCAGCTGGGAATAAAGGTGTGTGCCATCACTACCTGACTTGTAAGACTGACTAGAATGGCTGCTTTGCATTCTGATGTTCAGGAAAGCTTTATTAAAATACAAGTGAAATATCACTACAGTTGGGGGGCACTGTTATGGCAAAAATAAAATGGCACCATTCCCCAAGGGGCCTGCAGTCCACGATGGGTATTGAGTCCCAGGCAGGGTGAGAGACAGCAATGGATAGGCACATGCCATGCAGATTGCAGTTGGATTTTTAGTGGGTTATGGAATGGAAGGGGAGAAGGGGGAAAGAGCAGAGACAGACAGAGAGAGAGAGAGAGAGAGAGAGAGAGAGAGAGAGAGAGAGAGAGAGAACCAGAGAGAAAAAGAGAGGATGAGGGTGAAGGGGAGAAGGGGGATGAAGTTGGGAGACAGGCAGAACCTGTCTCTATGGAAGAGAGATGGAAAAGAAAAGACTTGCAGGCTGTATGCTGAAGGAAGATTCACTTGCCTCAGCAGACAGGGGAGGGAGTGGGTGGGGATTGTCTCTTAAAGGGACAGGACAGACCATTACAGTCACCACAGCATGAGGAACTAACTGTTCCAGCATTAGTAAGGTTGAGAACTGTAGTGAGCTGTTTTGTGCCGTACCTTAAAGATGGCACTGACCTCTACACTCCACCCACCGGGTGGAATGTGCTTTCAACTGTAAATAACTCCATACATGGCTAAAGCTAAGGATCTGGCTTGTTTTTGTGTACCTGGGCCTATCCGTATTTCCCACGTGGCTTGCTGGAGTTGGCTACCCAGAGGCTATTTTAGGTGTGGGCTGGCTTTCCCCCGAGGTCAGAAGATTATTCAAGGTTTCCTGATTAAACTGCAATTGAGAAGAGTCCGGTGTTGCGTTTTCTTTGCTGGCCAAAGCTACTTGACAGAGAACCACTGCCTTAGAGAATTCTGACACACCCTTTTTATTTGATAGTGATGAGTTGACAATCACATAGACATTTTTCACATACTATATTGAAATTCAGTTGTAAAAATGCATAAAATTTAGATTTTAAATATTTATTTATTCATTGTGTGTTTGAATATTTTATCTGCAGGTATATTTGTTTGCCACATGTATGTCTGGTTCTTGTAGAGTTCAGAAGAGGGCATCAGATACCCTGGAACTAGAGTTAGAGGTGGTTGTGAGCCACCATGTGGGTGTTGGGAATTGAACCTTGGTCCTCTGCAAGACCAGCCAGTGCTCTTAGTCACTGGACCATCTCTCCAGCCCAGAATTTAGATTTTTTAAAGTCAGTGCAACTGAATCACCATAAAATCTATGTTCAGAGAAATTGTCACTTACGTATTTATGGACTAAGTAATTATATGTTTGTATGTGGAGTCAGGTGATGTGTGACATATCTATGAGTTTGTCAAATTTAGGGCAGGGAGAACCACCTGAGAAAGTAAATAAATAAACTAGACAATATGAAAGTTGTTCAGGTGGAAGCTCCACACAGATGCACTTGTCCCGTTCTAGACCCAGTTCCAGAGAAAGCTGGCTACAGATCATCTCCTCCCCCAGAAATACTCAAGACCATGCCTATAGGCTATTTAAGCCAAAGTCCCCTGACATGCCATGTGGTTTCCCCCTTGTTTCTTCTCTTCCCCTGGAATCACCTGGGAATGCTTTGCTCAGCTTAAACCTGCTAGATAGTCTGGGCCTACGGGCTAAAGATTGGATGCCTCAACAATACAGAAGAACTTTGGGTGACTGTCCAGGTAGTGAGATGTCTCTGTCAATTCTATAGTTTTGGAAGTTGCTTATAATGTACTTCCTGTTTACTTAGGTAATATTATACCCTTCCATAGTCTTTGACAGAGTTGAAGAATTGATAGTTATAGTTTTTATTAGTTATGATAAAAGACAGAGTAGATATAAATATTGGAACTTTAATTCTTGTTTGTTACTCATTTTGTTATATGCTACTATGTTAAAGTTAAAACCTTCCTTTTTATTTAAACAGAAAAGGGGAGATGATGTGGGATTCCCCTGTATGCTGTGAATATAATTGGTTAATTGATAAAGAAAACAGGCGTGGGCTGATAGGGTAGAACAGAGCAAGACAGGGAAAACTAAATTGAATGCTGGGAGAAAGCTAGGCAGTCAGAGATAAGCCATGTAGCCCACTGGAGACAGACACTGGAACTTTACCTGGTAAGACACAGCCTTATAGTGATACACAGATTAATGAGGATGGGTTAAATTCACATGTTAGAGCTAGCCAATAAGAAATTAGAGCTAATGGCCCAAGCAATGATTTGATTAATACAATTTCTGTGTGGTTATTTTGGGTCTGAGTTGTCAGGCAGCCAGGAGACAAACAAGCAGCCTCTTATCACACATACCTACCCTATGGGCAAAGCAACAACACCATACAGAAAATGTACTAGAAACTTCAAATTGATGATTCATCAGGCCTATAAACATTTCCTCATAGACAGGGAAGGAATCCCATCCATCCCTCAGGGACTGTTGTAGTAATCAGTTGTCAGGGTAAGGCAAATAATTTTCTTCAGGGGTGAAACCACTAATAAGTTGCTTTTGCTTCAATAAATAATCTCCTACCCACTGTCAAGCAAAAAAAAACATTTTAACTTAGTGGGTTATACATAAAAAAAGAGAGTAAAGCAGGGAAAGGACTTGTTGGAAAGAAAGGGTCCCATGAGAGACAGAGGAAGATGAGAGAGGGGAGAAGAATGAAAATGACTAAACGTTATTATCTAAATATATAAAACTATCAAGGAACCAAAATATTCTTAGGAAATTGCAGAGTTGAGACCCCAGATGGTTCATCTGGGTTATATTGTCTAGACAGGAGTTAACTTGTATCTTCCAGATAGATGTATATGCCTCATCTTTAATTGTTTGCAAAGATGTTTAACCAAATCTACTGCTTGAAGGTGATGTGGATCTCCAAGAGGCTATAATATGCCTGAAAATTAGGTCCATTGATGCATGGCTTCAATTCAGGGACTGTTAAGTTGTGGTATATTCAAGAAACCTGCCTAGGAAACAAATACATGTTTGAAGTCTGGATCATGTAACCTATGTCTGTAGGACATATGAGGATTGCCGGGCACAATACAGTGTACATTATGAAAGCATAATAGATTAAAAAATAAGCTTGCTGTGTTAACCAAGTTTATTGGAGAGTAAAAATGTTAACATTCAGCCAGGTGTGTTGTTAAACAACTTCAAGTCCAACATTTGCAGGCAGAGACAGGTGCATCTCTGTGATTTTGAGGCCAGCCTGGTCTACAAAGCAAGTTTCAGGGCAGCCATGGCTATATCACAGTAACCCTGTCTCAAAAACCAAAACCAAAGCCAAAAATGTTAACATTCTTAATGAGAAGAATTTAGCTATGGCTGCTGAATGAAAACCTTTCTAAAGCTAAACTATATG